CTGCCCACCACGGGTATCGAAACCCGGATTACAGCGTTGTAAGTCCGCAGACATACCGCTGTGCCACTGGGGGACTTATCGCTGTATCAACTTTACTCGCATTCTGTTACACCTTCGATAGTTTTGCACTCGCTATGTAAATAAATGTTTTCGTGACCACAATCTCATCTTCTCCGATGTTCTCGACACCACTGTTCACACTCTAAGAAACATTTTTGCACCAGCTGATCACCTCCTGAACCTCTATGTTATGTCTCTCCCAGATGACAATCCCGACCACGTCGAGATGCCGATGTCCTCTCTTCCCCCATTTATCTATCCCGATTCCTAGTAGTCGCCAAATCCATTGCCAGTTCCCACACTATCTCTGTTACGTTATATGGACTAATCAGTGTTCACCCATATTTCTCCGGATTGTCTCCTCCATTTGCACATACCGAGTTTACGCGTTTTCCACCTCCTGTTCCGAAGGGAATGGAATATACTTTAACCTAAATTACTAACACGATTGGGGAATTGGAATCTGGAAGTTGGAATATAGGACTTCTAGATTGTGCCTGGTATTGTTTTTGGACTGTGCGTTTTTGGTGAGTTACTTTTTACTTTCTGCTTTTTGACTTTTTGTTATAATTTAATTTTTGAATTAGTTGTTGTGTGCACTGTGTTCTTCTCCATGCACTCTGTACTGCCCGGGGATTCTACGGAAGCTGTTCTATTACCTAGTCGTCGCCGTGCCAGTTCTATTACCTAGTCGTCGCCGTGCCAAGCCATATGACAAGCCGGATTTTCACTCTCGCCTTCCCAGTCGTCTCATCCTCGGGATTCTGCTCTTCCAGTTTGTGTGTCTTCCATAACTTCAGGATCACCTACTTTTGCTAATGTTGTTGGTTTCTCTGTCGCCATTCTACCTAATACTTCTGCTTTCTTCACCTGTTCGCCCTCAGAAATCTATTCGTATGGACTCCTCTTCCTGTTTCGGTGTTTCTTTGTTTCCAAGTGGAACCTCAGTTTTACATTATTCCAAGAACTTACTAAATAGTGTCTTCGAGCTGATTTACATCAACTTATTCCTAACCGGAATGGTGTCATTCTCAAAATGTTCAACATTCGCCTCTATGACATCCTGTGTAATCAAATGGGCCTCTTGAATCTGTGTCCCAACATCACCTTTCAGAAACTTACCTCTTCTTCACTGAAACAACACCCACCACTTAAACAACCTGCTCTCTTTTCATATGTTATTCATGGGGTGGATCTTCTCATCACCGAAGACGTCATTATCTTGGGATTGCTGGAGGATCAACTCGACATTCAGCATGTCATACGACTTAAAGATGTTCAGGGACCAGCGTATATGGTTCATGTTCTCTCCAAGAAAAGTGATGTCATTGACCATCTTCTTCGCAATAGAGCCTATCTCTTTTTGACAACATCATCAGGTTGAGATCTCTCGATTTCCTCCTCCCCTTAGCCCTAACGTTGTGAAAAATGTTTATGTTACAACTTTCGCTCGACTGCAAAATACCCGAATTCGCCTGTATGTCCTATTGTCGGGGCCCTCAAGTTGCCTGTCAATGCCTCAAGCTAAAACCACCCCTGTTTGTAATACATGTCACCAGAAGCACCCTACCTATTCTTATAAGTGTCATGGTAAACCTTCTCCCAAGTAGGATGATCCTATGACAGTGGCTCCAGTTAGTACCTCTGAACTTATTACCCCCTTCT